TTTCAGATCAGATGGACCTCAGGGTAGAGGTGTAGATTTAGAAGCTACCACTTTGGGCAAGAGGGTGGAAGCCTTGGGGTAGAATGAAATTCTTCACAAACACACCTGAGCATTATGGAACCATGGTATTTAGAGAAAAGAAGGAAGAAGGGGATACAGTGAAGAAGCCAGGGCGTGTGTAGCCAGACAGTATAATGCCAAGGGTGTAAAAGATGGTCTCAATAACAAGTCACAAGGAAATGGAAGCAGATATCCTAGCCCTCTGAGGATGGCAGAGCTGTAATCCGTGGTTTAGGTAAACAAAGGCAAAAACCTCATGCTTTAGTTGAAATTGGATACATGCACCAATGAAAAACAAGAATGCAACATTGCATGGAAGCAATAACACAATGTTGGAATGGACTGTGGTAAGCCAGATCTTCACCCAAACAGTTTTAGAAGCTCTTGGAATGCCTTGAACTCTAAGATCTGGCAACTTTGACTCTATTAATTTTGTAGATCATTCATTTTAAGTGGGCTTTTGCATTATTAAAAAAGGAAATGATTCTGAACTACTGGGTTGTGTCATTTAGAGGCAGGACAGAGTTAAGAACTCAGGACTTCTGATCGCAGGCAATAGACAGTTCACATCAGCTTGCCGCATCTCAGGATGCACCCAGACACCTGTGTATAAAGACCCAGTGACAAATCAAAGCCCCATGAGATGTAAGCACCTTAATCTGGGGCATCCTCTTCCTGCTTAACTATACCCTTATAGGACCCCAACCCAGGAAAAAAAAAAAGAATCTACTCCCCCTGCCCAGTTCCCCACTCCATGTATGCATATTTGCCAAATGCTCCCTATTCCCCATCCTTCTTCTTCTCCACCCACCCCACTCCAACAAAGCCTCTATGGCTGGTCAGCCAGATTCAGAGATGTGGGTGGGTCACCATGGTGACAGAGGAAACCCTGCTGCAGAAGGAGAGAGACAGAAATAGCAGGGGAAGTTTCTTAAGTCTAATACACTGTCTCCTGCCTTCTTAGAAGTGTTTCCTTCATATCAGAGAAGCACATTAGAGGTAAAGAGAGATGCTGTAGTGTTGGAGCAACAGTGCAATGCCTGAACTCTTCTTTAAAAATTTCTTTTCTATGACTTTCAGGTGATCGTCAGTATAACCATCTGATTTTAAGCAGTGCTACCCAGACCCCTGCACGTGGTGAGAGATTACTGAGAGCACTCCATTCCATCCTCATTCCAAGTGTCCCCATTCTAACCACTAAGGCCTATCAGGATATCAAGCACATGGTCATTGACTCACCAAAGCCAAGGAGGCGTGAGGACCCCTGTGCCCATCCTCCTCCAAGGCCACAATGCTTCACCCTCACTTTTAGACCACTGTCCCCTTGGTGTTCCTCCCTCTGATATCAGAGTGATCTTCTACCACAAAATGGAAGAAGCTAGACCCTTTCTCAACCCATTCCTACTTGCAATCTACATCACTTCTTGCACTCATAAATTCTATTGCCCATGACAAAGAATGTGATACTCTCCTTTGCCTGAAGCTACTTGTGGTATCATTTACAGATGAAGCGAGATTTGGTTAACCTATTTCGATCCTCCCCATACTCATGAAGATTTGATAAAACTCAAAACTATTGTCGGCTTTAGCCTCTTGGCAGGGGAAGAGGCTGATAGTTACAGAGCAGGAGTATTAGATAGCGCCAAAGGGTTGCAAATCCATGTTCCCTCCTTAGATTATAAAGTCCTCCCACCAGATCACAACATTTGGAACCAGAGAGAAAAACTGTTTTTGATACCTGCTCAAAACTCGATAATCCATAAGACAGCCATGTAAATTGTGAAATGTCAGCCATGCTTGTCTTTTGCTATGAAAGAGTGAAAACATCATTAAAGTCTTAGTGAGAGAGAAACTCAAAACAAAGATAAAATCTATAGCCTACCTGGTGGAGACACCTACCACTCTCATGTCAGATTATGCTGCGCCTCAGCATTGAGGTCAAGTGTCCTTATAACAAGGAGGTGGGGAGTGGAATATTTTGATGTGCCCCTCCAGTGCTATGCTCCTAGTAGAAATGTGTGATAAAAACAACAGTCTAATAATATGGGTCAGGTGTGGGGTCTAAGAAAAATTAGAACTGGGAGAAATTGGAGAGACCAGTTAACAGAGGTTGATACCAGAGGTGATGTAGACACTGGGAACAGAAACAAAGATTGGGATATGAAACATTTTGGAGAAAGAATGGGGAAAACTTCATTCCTAACTGAATCTGCCTTGTGAGAGCCAGTAAAATGGCAAGCCAAGATTGATTAGAAGAATGGAGGATTTTATTAACAGAATCTAAGGAATCAGGAAAACCACCAGTGTGTACCAGGGATGGAGCAGTTGATGGTGAGTTTGGATCTGGACACCTAGAGTTTGATGTGACTGTAGGATATGCAAGAAAAACCATTCAACAGGCAGTTAGGAATGCAGAAATGAAGTCTGGAGGGAGGTTAGAGCTGAAGATGTGTTAAGCTTTGGAGGCAGTAACAGAAGCCTTGGGAACGGGAGCAATCTGTGCAAGAATGCTGAAAGAGAAAAACAGAAGGCAGAGGCAGGGAGCCTGGGGGATGCCCATGGAGATGAATCAGCAGCAGGAAGAGGAGCCAGAAAAGGCAAGCAGGGAGAGCTCCCACTTGCTCGCAATGTTCTGAAAGAACAACTACTGAGCTGATTTTCCCAGAAGGATACAACACAAGCAGTCTCCTGAATATGAAAGGAGGAAGCTTTCTTCCCTCCTTCTTCTCCTGTCTTGTCTTCCAGTGGGGGCAGAGGAGACCCAGTTCCTGCCCTTGAGCAGCTCAAAAGCTAGTGGGGGCAGAGATTTCCCTGCATTCCTTTCTGGGATGTTACACTTTTCCCAGGAACTAGCAGAGCGACTGTTGAGAGAGAAGGGAGCCTGTGTCTACTTGATTAACCAAAGAGCATTAACTGGATCATTATTTTGGGCCAAGCACTATGAAGGAATCAGAAAACTTGGAAAGCAAGACTTCTGCTGTCAAGGAGATAGCAATCTTTGGAGATCAGCAAGAGGCTGGATGGAACTGACTTGAAGAGCAGTATGGGCTCAAAGAGTAAGATATCATCATGGGCTGAAAAGATGTGACCATGACACAGCCAAGACCCTTGAGTGAAGGGAGAATTTGATACAGGAAGGGTGGGGTGTGGCATTTCAATAGGAGGGAGGGCATGAGCAAGGCATGCGGTAATCAGGGTGGAGGCAGAAGGCAAGGTGGAGCTGGCCTTGGCTTGGTGGGGCAAGAGCATCCAGAAACCTGCATTTGGAAGTGGGAGTATGATGCCAACAGGTGGAGGGAAGTTCATTCTTCTCCAGCATGGCCAAAAGTGAAGAAACAAGGACTAAGGGATTGGTGGCTGTTCCCCAGGTCTGGAGAACAATGCTCCCAGCAGCCTGCCCACTCCACTTCCTGGCATCTGTCCTGATCCGTGCCAGGAAGGCTCTTTCTGAACAAGATGTTCTGATCTCTTGGAGATCTAGAGCATCCCCCACCTCCTCACATATGTACCAAGCAGGCGTGAAAACCAGCTCATCGGTGGGGCTCCCCTGGCTCAGTCCCCAGTACTGGGGGTGACAGTGCAGGCAGGAAGGGATAGAGTAGCCAGGAGTCCTCTGTGCTTGGGGCTCTCCTCGAACGAGACCTAGGAGGGTTTCTGTCTCCCATGGCACACAGAATTCTTGCTTTCCATGTTTCAGCACTCTCCTCGCACATTTGTCCAAAGTTAGAGCCTGCTCCTTCTCAGAACCTCTTTGGCCCTGAGGTGTCCCAAACCAAAGAGGATGGAGGATGCATACTGGACGACAGCCTCCTAACTACCTCATAATGGGAGTGGCACCACTGTTTCCCCAGCAACTGCCTGTGTGTGCCTCCTGCCCCTCGAACCAATCAGGCACCAAGGCATGGACCTCTTCCTTCTTGGACCTCCACCCATTCTGTCCCCCATCTTCACTGCTACTCCCTCCCCAGCCATGCATTCCCCCTCCGCTCTCCGATGTTCTTCCTAGTCTGGCCCCAGATCCCAGCTCAGCCTGCAGTGTGCTGCCGTCAATCTCTCACTTCATTTCCCTTCCACCTTTCCTTCCCTTCCTCCCTCCATACTTTCTCCAGGTCTGGCATTGAACAACACTCCTCTCTCTCTCTCTCTCTCTCTCTCTCTCTCTCTCTCTGGACTGTGGAATCTCAAGGCTCTATTTCAGAGGAAGGAAGGAGAAAAGGGAAATGATGTGCTAAGCATGTTTGCCTACATTCTTCCTCCCGCAGCTTAGAGATGGCTCCGGGGGCTTCAGAGGAAGGAATTAAAGTGACATAACATGGCTGTGAAGTTCACAGTGGCTTGTCAAGTGCAGGGCTTGCAGAGACCCAGGGCAGAAGGAGTGTGCGAGACATGAAATGATGTCGTGGACAGAGCATGGGTTGAAGTCACAGCAGAGCTGGTCCCAGACCCAGCTCTATGATTATACAGACAAGATAAGTCTCTCCAGCCTCCCTAAACTCAGATTTTTCTGAGCCTGAGAGTCAGGTTTGCCTAACACTGTTAGGGAAGGGACAGCACATTCACACAGAGGTAGAAGATGTTATGATGCCCCTCAGCTCCATCAGGCTCACGTTTTCATCAGACAACTCAGCCATGAACTGGGAAGAGATATCCAGTCCTTAGTGTCACGGTCCAGTCTGCCATTCAAGAAATGGTAAACTGCCATGGTGGCCAGAGGCAGCTACAACAGCACCTGCCCCTAGGCTTGTTGACCCCTGGAACTGAGCATGAGGGAAACTGAGTCAACAACACCACCTGTGTCCCAGCACAGGGGGCCAGGAAAGTAGGATGGGGAATCTAGTCAGGGACGAGGAATAAAGCAGAGAGAAGAGCTGGACCCTTCCCTGTTGCCTGCCTCAGCCTTCGTCCTCACTAATGCAGTGCACTCCTCCCTTCTCTTGCAGAGAAGCCACGGGTGAACAACATCCTGACATCAGCCACCGAGCCCTATGACCTCTCCTTCTCCCGCTCTTTCCAGAACTTGGCCCACCTGCCCCCGTCCTATGAGTCTGCAGTGAAGACCAACCCCAGCAAGTACTCATCTCTGAAGAGGCTGAGTAAGTGGAACTTCTCCCGGGCTTGGGGTCTGTCTCTGGAGCCTTCCAGACATCCTCTTGTGTCTCACTCTCTTGCCCCACACCCAAGAGGATAGGGTGGAACCCAAGAACAAAGAGGGAGCTGTAGGATGGAAGGAGGATGGACATTCCCCTTGCTTTTGTTCTTTATGCCCTGAGCTCATTCTTCCACGGATGGAATAGAAGCTACCGAGTCCTCAGACCCACACTCCACGAGACAGCACTTCAATTCATGCACCAGCTTAAATGCAAGAGAAAGCCTTTCCCCAGCTCCCACCCCATCAGCCTTCTTCAAACGGTGGACATTCCCTGCTCTATATCCTGTCTTGGAATAGAGGCTAGCAAGGGCCAGGGCTTTCTCTGAGACCTCTCCCAGAGACCCATAAACCAGCACCCTCTCTAGCCCAGCCAACACTGTCTTGAGGATGACACTCCTCACCATCCATGCACACACCCCATTTCATCACTCAAGTCCAGTTTATCCAGTGATCCCACCTCTGGCATTTGAGTCTGTGGAGGCTCTTGGCATTGATGGGTTTAAGACACTAAAATGTCAAGAAAGTACATTGAGAGAACAGCTCTTCTTTCCTGGCTTTCTGACCCTTGGACTGTATTTCCCCCATTTCTCCATGAGTCTCTTTTGATGAACACCCAGCTGCAGTTGGAGCCCCAAGGCTGAGCATTTGCTTAAAGCTGCATGATAATCTACCCTGATAGAAGCTCAGCCCAAGTCCACACCAACCACCCCCATGGTGGATTGTTGAGTTTCTATGGCTAGAGGTGAGAACCTCAGATAACCTGAAGAATCTGACAGGTACCTCAAGATAAGGAAGGGCATGCCCACCAGTGACCCCTCACTCCCACACTTTGCAGAGATCTAGAAGGCTGTCTGCAGGGGGTGAAATTTGGGGCAATGCAGGTTTGTATGTATCCTGGGTAATTCAAGGGTACAGAAAGCACTGTGCCCTTGAGAGGGCCAAACAGATTGGGGGGATGCATCTGAGTGAGGCACACATGATGGTATTTCAAAAAGTTCATGGAAAGACTCGAATTATCTTTCCATGAACTTTTTGAAAGACCCTCATAGAGGATTGTTGCCACCTGCTCGTGTTGTGGGCACAGGCAGAGTGTGTGGGCTGATTATGTGGTTGCATGGGGGCTGGATGCCCATGTGTTGGCTTCCTGTGCATTGGCTGTTACCCCAGAGAAGGTGTTACTATGTTCCTAAGTTACCAATTAAGCATTTCCACAAGTGCCTCCTAGTTGAAACATCTTACTTTATTCTAGCATGAGGCCGGTTCATAGAGGAAGGCTCCGGACCTCACCAGGAAGCTGGCAGCCGCTTTAGCAAGAGCTGGGAACCATTCTGTTTCAGGACCATGGCGTGGCAGAAATGGCACAGGAACAGGCGTAGTTTCAGGGAGTTGGGCTTATCAACTCTGCCATGAACTTGCTGGGGATCTTGAGGAAGTCCCTTCACCCCTTGCTACCCCTCATGGTGGTCCGTGGTCCAGGGGCATCAGCATCACCTGGGAGATTATTAGAGATGCAGACTCTCAGGCCCACCTCAGACCCACTGAATCAGAATCTGCATTTAACAAGCCCCAGGGACTGGCTCACACATTCAGTGGAGAAGCACTGTGTTCACCTGTCTGAGCCTCCATGCCCTAATCCATAAACTAAAGGGGTTTGACTATTTTATCCCCAAAGTTTACGGGCCTGGGATTGCACAGGAGGGGTGCAGGCTTCTGCCTGAGTCCTGGCCGTGATGTCACCCAGCTTCCTTCTCTCCCTCCATCTCTCCTGCAGCAGACAAAGAGGCTGACGAGTACTATATGAGGCGGCGACATCTGCCTGACCTGGCGGCCCGTGGCACCCTTCCCCTCAACGTCATTCAGATGTCCCAACAGAAGCCGCTGCCGCGGGAACGACCGCGCCGGCCCATCCGGGCCATGTCCCAGGACAGGGTCCTGTCCCCACGGCGGGGCCTGCCAGATGAGTTCGGTATGCCCTATGACCGCATCCTGTCCGACGAGCAGCTGCTATCCACCGAGCGCCTGCACTCACAGGACCCGCTGCTGTCCCCGGAGCGGACGGCCTTCCCCGAGCAGTCGCTGTCCAGGGCCATCTCGCACACGGACGTCTTTGTGTCCACACCTGTGCTGGACCGCTACCGCATGACCAAGATGCACTCCCATCCCAGTGCCTCCAATAACTCCTACGCCACCCTGGGACAGAGCCAGACAGCGGCCAAGCGCCACGCCTTCGCCTCACGCAGACACAACACGGTGGAGCAGCTGCACTACATCCCGGGCCACCACACCTGCTACACAGCCAGCAAGACTGAAGTGACCGTGTGACTGTCAGGGCGGGGCCCGGGCTGCTGGGCAGGGCAGGGCAGGGGTGAGGAGGGGCCAGGAGCAGAGCTGCTAGCCTTGCAATTCTTCCTTCCTTTGTCCCCTCCCTAGGAGGTGGGGGTGGGCCACCTTTGTCCAGAAAGCCATACCCCCGAGGATACAGCCCGAGGCCTGGCCCGGCACAGCATGCTCAGACCCAGGACCTAGAGCGATTGCTGTCACTCTTCCAGAGAGTTAACAGGGAGCGGGGAGAGGGGCCAGACCCCATTCTCACACCCCGCCACCTTCACCAACCCCCTTTCAGTCCCACGCCCCCTTCTCCCCCTGCTGGGGACTCAGCTGCAGGTTCTGTCAGCCAAGAGACCTCCGCCCAACCCTGGTCCAAAGCTGCCTGGGTTTGAACGGGCCAGCGGGCGCAGTCAGCGGGCTGACCGAATAGGCTACTCGGTCTCATTCATTTACCTAGAACCGCATCACAGAAATCTTTTAGTGCCTAAAAACTGCCTGCTCGCCCCTCAGAGCCGGGGAGCTGCTGTGTCCATAAGCACAATAATGATTCTTTTCTTGCCTGCTGGAACTCTGGTCCCCACTGAGTGCCCCTTCCCTCGCTGACCCCTGCCAGCCCCACCCTTAACCCCCGGGACAGGGAGGGGTTCCCTTCCTTTGGCTGCCTCCCCTCGTTAGGAACCCCACCCAGTTCCAGCTGGTTGCTCACCCACAGGATCCCTGGCCTGTCCTCTGGGGGGGGGGGCGGGGCTTTGCTCCTCCCCCAGCCCTAGAGACTGCACCCCTGAAGGGCTTTAGCTCTGGCCCTTTCAGAGGGGAGTAGCGATGGGATGCAGGGACTCTTGGAGTGCCCTCTCCAGCTACCTGGTTATCTCCACACTTCCTCCAGGCCTCTAGGTCTGAACCATGACCCCCACTCAAGCCTGTCTTCTCCTGCTCCTGGAGGCACCTGCAGTGGACAGAGAGCCAGGGTGGGGAGGGTCACTGTGATGCCTGGGGTCTTGGCTGGGCCCTGCCTGCCTCCCACCATGTACCTCAGGCAAGACTGAGGCAGACGCTTCTAGAGAGAGGCTGCTTGGCCCCCAAACAAGGAGGACTTGAGACCCAGGGGCTTGTCCTGCACCCCACACACTCCACTCCTCTTCCCCCATCCCTGCCCACCTGCCCTGCCCCTGCTCTGTTTAGATCTCTCTCTGCCTGTCCCCCTTCCCCCCACCTCCCGTCCTTCCTCAGCTCCGTCACTGTCTGGGGCTGCTGCTGCTTCCGTTCCATGCCTCCTCTGGATCAAAGGGACAAAGTCCTATTAGGAAAAGCAAATAATGGTACTCCAGGCTATTGGTCTGGGGGATAACGGGGCAGCTCCCCACCCCATCAGTCCCTCCCTGCAGTTCCACTTCCTCAGCCCTGTGGGGAGCTGTCACTGCCAGCCCACCTCAGCCCCTTCTCTGTCTCTAAGCTGGGGGTAGGGGGCAGGGTGTGCTGGCCTTCTGGGAGCTGGCAGTGAACTCAGCAGCGTCCACTCTCCCAGACCAGAGTCTGGGGGAGAGAGGGAGGGGCTCCCTCATTCTCAGGGCCAGGGCACCTTCCTGGGCTGGGGCTGGGGGAATCAGCTCCAGACTATTGGGTAAAGGTGTGATGCTAAAACCACGACTGACACCACAGTCAGACTCCTAATGCCCTTAAACAAGATCTTACATTCCCTCTGTTCTGCATGTATGGCTCTATAAATAAGTGGGGGTGCAGAACTCAGTGTCTGCCCTGGGAATTTTTAATCTAACCAAGCCCACAAACCGCAGAGAAATCAATGGACTGCTTCCTCTCACTGATTTCAAGAATTCCAAAGCTCTTGTCTCCTTCTCCCCACCCCAGGGTTTGCCTCCTAGCATGAAGGAAATAATCGCATGAATCATGGGGGACTGAAGGCTGGGGGATGGGAACGCAGCCCTTGGCTGGCTTTCCCACAGGAGAGGTGTTCCCAGGACGTGCGTCTGTGAGGCCAGGGTCAACTCTCTCTGCTTTCCTGCCTACAAACACATAAACCTTCTTAGGGGCTGGTCCCCATGGGTTTATAAGGGTTTGTTCCAGAAGGTGCAGCTAAGGTTTGGAAAGGAGGAAATCAGTCTAAATAGAGCCTTTGGTCACTCCCAGAACACAGGTATGTCTGAGAGCTGGGTCCCTGAGCCCAGCACCCTTTAATCCTCTCCTCCTCAGCTAGGCCCCTTGAAGGCCACCTCTGGGGTGTTGAGGGGGTCGGGGGGGGGGGCGGGAATACAGCCTCTCCCCAGGTGTCTACACACACCAAACCAGGATCCTGGAACCTGATCTCATAGCTGTCTAAGCGTGTTCTGGGCACCAAGTTCTCCAGCCTTAGGGTGAAGCTTTTCCCTGGGGCTCCTCCCTGAGCCCTGCTCTGACAAAGTGTCTACCTGTCTCGGGGCTGAGGGAGGGTGGGGGGTGTTAATAGGCTAATTCTCAAACATTTCTCATCCCAGCCTGACCACTGTCTGGTTTAAAACGTCTGGTGTCAGCTGGATCAGAAAATTCGACTTGAACGCTTACTTCTTTTAAAGAATTCCTTCTGCTTCACCTTTGGGTCTGGAGGGGAGGAAGGAAGGAATGGAAGAAGGGAGGGAAGGAAGAGAGATGGGTCTACAAACTAGCTCCAGTATAGCCCCATTTCAAAATCCAGACAAGTATGTCTTAACTGGGACATGGAGGTATCTCATTTATTCAGTTGTCCCATGCAACTTTACAGAACAAGCAAAGCCACATTAACAGACAAGTTCATGTAGCAGATGAGAGGGTTTTGGGGCTGGAACCCAGATGTCCTAACTTTCAGGCTGCTGGCCTCCAGCATGCATAGACAGACCATCTTCCCCCACAGTAAAAGCCCCTCCCCTAGCAAGAAAAGCCTGAAGCCCAAGATCCCCCCCTGCTCATTTGTTCTTTGCACGCATTTGCATCAGGGGTCTGCACAGGTGTTCTCCTGCCCTGACAGCTCTTCCTGGTCACCTTGGCCTTTGATGGCATCAAAGCTCTCACAGTCCCTTGTGTCCTTCCACTTTTCCTGCCTGGCCTCCTCCAGTTATCTCCCGGCCTCATGTGTTCATGAGCCACAAAGGCTTTACCAAGAATTCCTTAACCTCCTAACTCAGCCCCCTGTACCAGTTCACTCTTTCCTTTCTCTCATCTCCCTCCTCCTCCATTTACCTTCCTCCCTCATTTCTTTTCCCTGGTCCTGCTGTAGTCTCTGGTTCTAAACATCAGAGTTCTCAATGTAAACAGTGAAGGAGTCAGACCTTCCTCAGGTCTTCCCTCCCTGCACCTGTGAGACGACACCCCAGGGCAGGGAGCCGGGCTCTCCCCCTGTGATCTTCCAGAGGGAAGGGGGAGGGACTTCCGGGTCAGGCATAACTGCTCCACACTCAGCTTTGGTTCCTGCATCCAGCAAGTCTGCTCGAGCTCCCAACCCAGCCTGCTACTAGCCCAGAGGCTCCTGCTCTGGCCAAAGACTCATATCCTCGGAGGCTCTTGGCCACTGCTCCACCACTCTTACCCCCTTTCCTGCTTGTGAGTGCCACAGTCCCCCTTTGTCCCAAAACATTTGAGGGCCTCGTGATTCTCCAAGCATGGACATAACGTTTGTACCAACATCCCTGCCACCCAACTCAAACCCAACTTAGAGATACCTTGTCTGCCACCAGCCTCCCACCCACGGATTCCTTCCACAGGCAACTGTGGACTTGACCCAAGGTAAGAGGAAAGGGTTTCCGACCACATGGACCCTAGAAGGCGCCTGCTCTGAGAAGAGCTGACATGTTACCTTCCACATACATTCCCTTGCCACCTTCTCCGAATCTGGGAAACTTTGCTCTGGAATATTTTCAAGGAAGCTCCTTGCGTGTTAATGAAGTACTTTTCAGGGTTCAAATGTTATTTTTTATAAATGCAGCATTTTATGGCAGATTCAATAGGAAAGATATGTCTTCCTGGGCTCTATATTTGAATTTGGAAGGCAGCATACTCTAGGAGAGAAAAGTGCAGGGCTAAGGCTCTGGAGATACAGCTTCCAGCCCCGACTTTGTCTCCTGATTGCTGTATGACCAAGGGCAAGTCATGTCCCCGCTCAGTGCCTAAGTTTCCCCACCTGTAAAACAAGGGGCTTCGACTAGATGAGCTCTTACACTCTAGGGCTTTCATTCCCCTTCAGCACCCCCTCCTTTCTGCACATTCCTCCCCAACTGAACTGCACACACCCCACTACACCTGCTCCACAGCGACATCCTCAGATGACCTAGACAGCCACCAGACTCCTCACCAGGGCCTGCGGTGGGCCCAGTGGACTCAGCCACCCAGGGATGCTCTCATAGCTGAAGGTTAAGGGCCTAACCATTCAACAGTTACCAACCATGTGTCACAGAAGCCCTCTCACATAGACACACATAGACCATCCTGGGTGTCTGTGTCACTGGGCAGTTCTGAGTTTGGAGTTTTCCTTTTTGATGTGGTTCTTATAGCTGGAGAGAGGCAGTTCCAAATTCAGAGAGGAGATGGGCTTGGAGGAGAAAGCTGCATAGGTTTGCCGACAAGGGCATGAAGTTTGTACTTAGGGCGGCTGGGAGATGCATTCCAAGCCACAGAGGAGAATGCTTGGCAAAGGCCTGGTGTAGCAATGGATGTCACTGTATCCCACCCCAGAACGCGTGTCCTGAAGCCCAAGTCTGAAGACTGAGGCTCCATTCCAACTGGAGGAGGAGTAGACTTCACCACCCAGGCTGCTGGGAGCTGGGCACTCACCCTATCCTACTACCTTTCCTGCCCCTCCTTGTGACACTACTGTCCTCCTGGTGAAGGCTTGTGAAGCAAGAGTGGACAGTCCAAGTCGGGATCATCAAATCCATTTTGTAAATCGGCAAACACAGCAACCTTCCATCAGTCAGAGAAACGACGCTGTGCGTTCCCTTAACACCTCCCTAGTGAGGGAGAAGACCCTGCTCCACGCTGCTGTCCACCCCTGCAGTGACCCTTGAATGCCACTCCCTGGGAGGACTCACTCATTTGCTTCGTAGTGGCAAATACTCCTCTAGTTCTATAACTCAACTAGACATTTTGTAGTAAAGAATTCTTGAAATTCTCTAATAAAAAGCAATTCTTACTGTAATATTTTTAGTTTGGGGACAAAATTTCCTAAGGGGGGATTAATTAACATTTTTATGCATTAGCCCACTGTATGGATTCCATGTTTATTATACGGTAGTACTGATGAGCAGTACCTTTCTATCTGTACCTTGCACAGTTCCTTCATTACTCATGTCAGCTTCATGAAAAGCAGTGTTCTTATAACTGCTTCTTCTGTACAAATCTCATCGTTCTACTTACCTGTCAAAGCACATTCTATATGTACTGTAAACAGATACCACTTTAGTAAGATTTAGTCTTAAGGATTTTTCCACTTTTGTCAGTAACAGATATTTATGGATTAAAAAAAAATAAAGCCGTTTCAACATAAACCATGTCTCTTTAAAATAGCCATGCACTTTTATGAACAGAGTCAAAACCAAAGGTAATTAAAAAGCAAAAAAGGACATAGGTCATTGGAGCTGGGGACAGAAGCAGGGATTAACTGCAAACAGCAGCTAGGGAACTTTCAGGGTAATGAGCGTGTTTTAGAACAGGATTGTGGTGACAGTTGCACAACTGTATAAACTGACTAAAAATCACCAAAGTGTATACTTACAATGGTTGAATTTCATGATATACAAATCAAACTTCAATAATGCTTTTTAAAATGGAGAACAAGGAAATTCAGGAAGGAAAATTTAGGACAAGTGCCACTGGACAAGGTACCAATTCAATTAGAAATCCTAACTCTGTCTCCATACTCATCTATTCCAGCACTTTGGTCTTGGACATTAGGTCTTAGTTGGATTTTTGAGTTGGTTCCTGTAGCTACCACGGGTGATCAGAACACACAGGTGGTTAAATATCCAGGCCACTTAACCCATAGAATCAAGTTGCACCATGAAAATCGATTTAGATTTGGAGTTTTTTTCAAGACTCTCTTTCTCTGGACAGGTTTTTCATATGATTTTCTTTGGCACGTGTTCACTTTTGCTGCTAAGGTCATCTGTTGTTCTGTGTTTCTGAATTTTCACCAGAGCCTGGAAACCAGTGGCCTCAGGTTCAAACAAAATGCTGCTAAGCAGGATAGTTGGCCAAACACCCAACACCAGCACCTTGATAGCCCCCAGGATCCATGGTCAGGCATGTTCTGTTTCCAACTCCCCGACTGCCTTGGAAATAGAATCCTTCTCATTGGAGGCATAGGGCGTATATTCAAAATCTCTTTATTCCCTCCTGTCAATGGCATTCATTACCTAGGACAAAGTTACAAACCTGCTTACTATTCCTGGCCATTGTAACACACAACCACGCATATTCTGAAATGTATTTACTCATCTCCACTATCACTACTGCAGTGCTATTGTTTCTAAGTCATAGCATCTCCATGACCACTCTTAGCAAGTACACACACACACACACACACACACACACACACACACACACACACACAATAGAACTATAGGGAAGCTTCATTCATCTGTATTGATTTTTGGAAGGAAACCTATTGGAAAACAAAATTCTGAATTGTAGAAAATTTTTTTTTTAGAGAAGCGCAATTTAACTGTAATGCTTACACATACATATTATGGCTAAATTAGACTAAATCATGTTCCCTAATAGAACTCTCAGGAAAACTTCCTTACTGCACAGGTAAAAATAATATGTAATTAAAATTAATGTGGTCCAGAGGTATAAGTCAGAGAATTCCCAACATGCTTTAATGGTATTTCTGAAATACTTTAAAGAACTCTTTTCTTCAATATGCTAAATATCCCCCTTTAATTTTCATTAACTCTAATAATTTGTTCAACTTTGCCTTTTTGATTCTCAAAGGTAATCCTCAGTTTAGCCCCTGTCATAATTGTTACTAACTCCAATAAATGAGGTTTTATTACACCATCATGAACAAGCCAAGGCCAAAGAAAATGCACTTTGGAAACATTGAGATTCCAGGAGTCCGGGACAGCTTTTCACCTGTGGTGTCACTTTGGACACTCATTTTCTTCTTTCTCCTCTCTGGTTGAACATGAGAATGAAGCTCAAAACCTCTGGGGAGGAGCAAGAAAGATTTTCCTTCAAGGATCTAACATGATGGGAGGACACACTGTTTGGGCTAAAATGCCAGGAACGGAAAACCAGAAAGGGCTTGGGAGCAGAAAAAGGAGCCATTTGAAAGTTCCAGAATAAAGGAATTAGTAACTTTTACATCACGGATGTGTAGCCAATGTCATCTCTGGGCCTTGGCTTCCCCATCTGTAACAGCTGGGGAATTAGATACATCCTGAGATCCTTCCTGTGTCTGACATTTTACCACTTAATCATCACAAGCAGTATTCAAATTACAGCTGGGCTTCTAGGTAGCTGAAAGAGCTTGTGAGCACCCATCCTGTGTCCTGCATGGTCCTGCCCATGTCAGCATTCCCACCCCATGAGGACAGGCTGGAGTGGAAGAACACTGGACTGGGAGTCGAAGTTGTTCACGGTACTGGCTATGCTGGTGTTTTGCTGCGTGACCTGGAAATCTCAATTTTCTCATTTAAAACAAAATGAGTGGGCCGGACCAGGCGATCTCTAAAATGCTTCACAGCTTTCGTACATGCTTCTAGGACTTTGCCAAGACTTTGCTGGGAATCGGTGAGCTTAGCTGCTATGGATCATGGCAGAAGGGTAGAGTGGAGGGTGGAGTGGAAGTGGAGGAGGAGTAAACCCTTGGCTGGAGCCACCACTTGGGAGACATCTTCCCAGTTTCTTAGTTGCCAGCATATCTACCTTGTGTCAACAGGATGGCTATAGAGGAAGCAAAACTATTGAACAAAAGGATGAACAAGGTCCTCAGAAAACTGCCTCTTCTGGGCTAGGTGGTTAGCTCAGTTGGTTAGACCACGTTGCTATAACATGTCAAGGTCAAGGGTTTGGATCCCCATAGCAGCCAGCGACCAAAAAAATAAATAAGTAAAAATAATTTTTTAAAAAAAGGAAAGAAAACTGTTTATTCTGTTTGACTTAACTTCCTGCGATTTCCCCAAATCAACAAATTGGCTGTCAAGAAAATTCCAGGAAGTTCTCACCAGTTCATTCTTTTACTGTGTTTTGCCCTTAGAAACAGAGCTCACATATGTGTTGTAGGACCAGAGCCCTAGCCACAAAGAGGAGAGGAATTTTTTGCCTCTAATCTCAATTCCAACCCCAAACCCAACTTCTAGAGTTGTGTGGCAAGTGCAGAGTCCTAAGAGTTTTGCCTTCTTTCCCAACAGTGTGTACCTTAGTGATTTCTTCTTGGACCATTTATAGGAGCTACTCCTGCTGATTCAACCCAGCAATCATGGTGAAGACCTCCTCTGCCACATACGCAGTATTGGTCCCTACACTGGTTTTCATTTTAGACTCAGAGACAACTAAAAACTGTCATCAATTCAGTGCTATTCAAAGTGTGGCCAACAGTGCAGCAACCTCAGTATCTCCTGGGAGCTCACTGCAATGCAGATTCCCAGTGCCCATCCCAGACTTTCTGAATCAGAATTTCTGGGGGTGGGGCCCTGGAATTTACATTTTAACAAGATTTTTAGGTGACTCCATGCACATGGAAGTTTGAGAAGCACATCATTTTTCCCTTTTTTTTTTTTTTCAGTTTTGAAATTTTATAATCCCATGACAAGAATAAAGATTTAGAATTCTGGGGATCAGAGTAGCCTTGATCTATGCAGCCTGACAATTTTAGGCACCCAGCTTCAGTGCAGAGATGAGAAACAAAAATGAGTTTACAGAGGATTAAGTATTTAGGAAAAGAGAAGAAACCTGAAGCGACATGTATAGGAAAGTTTAATAGAGGTGAAATTATGTGACTGTTGGATAACATCATAAGGTTGAATGGGAATCTTTAAAGATTGCTCAAAATGGAGTGTGTCAAACGTTGAATGGAACAAGGATAAAGTTGTGGACACAGAAGAAGACCCATTCCCTCAGGCATCGCAAGAGTACTGGAGGGGGGAGATGTGCTCCTGTGAAACTTCTTGGGAAGGCGAGATGGCAGCCATTGTGACCAGCGGAGACTTCTGTCCCTCTTCCTCAGCCTTATCCAAGAGCCCAGAAATGGGGGGGGGGGGGGGCCCCCCCCCCCCCCTCCCTGCCCCCTTGTCAAGGCTGGGGGGGGGGGGCGGAGTTGTGGGGGGGGGGCCCCCCCCCCCCCCTCCCTGCCCCCTTGTCAAGGCTGGGGGGGGGGGGGGGGGGGCACCACCATCAGCAATGCTGCCTGCCGCCACAGCAGAGCAAAAAGAGAGTCCCAGAGGGTCTGGCAAGGACAATTAAATGGCAGCCCACAGTGGCACGTACCACTTCCACTCACATCTTGGCCAGATCTGGCTTCACAGCCCCACCCCACCACAGGGGAGCTAAGAGGGGACTCTACTATGTTCTGGGAAGATGGGGAACAGGAAATACCCGTGAGCAGCATTAGCGTCCACTGTAGTCATCATGTTGTTTAGAGCTGAAGACTGGTAACTTATAGAGACAACGCCCCCCTTCTCTATCACCATAGTAAAACCATCAAAGGGTTGTTGTGTTTTAAAGCAGATGAAACTTTTCTACAAGTGATTTATTGTATATGAAACCAGTGCTGTGCCCATTTTCATTTCAGATTGGTGAATGGATGTCTCATTCAGGAGTCATTTGTTGCAAAAAACGAAAACTCATTTGAATTAGTTGAGGCAAAAAATGAACATACAGTTATTATTATGTATTATTATTATGGGATCTAAAAATATTTCTTAAGGCCCATACATATAAACAGGCCTCAAAAAAGCAAAGTAGAGTCATCCAAAACCATAGCGATACTCTCTCGACTCTTTCAATGTCACACACCCTCATTTCCTTCTCTCTGCAAATCTCCATTTCTCCTACGTGTGGTTCTTTTCGGTTAAACCTGGATGAAATGACACCTTCAGCAATTACATCTGCATAACATTCCCTGTCCAGTCCCTACAGTTCATTGACGTAATCTGTCTGTGCCCCGATTCCAAAATTGCTGGGAGAAAATCTGAAATCTCTATAATGACTCCCATTGTTTATCAGTTACCTATTGCTGCATAACAAAACAACACCCCAAACTTAACAGCATAAAATGACAGTTTATTTATTGTTGTTCTCTCTTGTGATTCTGGAAGTTGACTGGGCTCAGCCAGACAGTTTTCACCCAACGTCCCATATGCAATTGCAGTCATATGAGCTGACTGAAGCTGGGTCGTCTCAAAGGCTTCCTCACTCACGTGTTTGGATGTTAATGCCAGTTGTGACTTGGGACCTCAACAGGGGCTACCGCTGAAACACATGTCCTCTTCACGTGGCATGGGCTTCCTCATAGCATGGCAGCTGGGCTCCAAGAACAAGTGTC